CTGAGTATTGAATGTACTTTGTATAATTTTTGTGGAATTATTACTGTTATTAAAGAAATAAAATTTTTACAATCATGACTAGCTGCTGACTTGGAGAGGAATGTGTCCCTGGTTCATGGGCATCACAGACCGCACCTAATTCCTGCTCCGTTTTGGATGCTGTGGCCATATCCTGTTCATTACACTCGGGGCAATAAGGAGGCTCAGACGCCCCTGTGCCAGCTCCTTCCTCAGCCGGGACCAATGGGCTCACTGCGCTGGGAGATGAACCGGAAAAGCCCTCCCCCAGCAGGCCTGGGAGGGCGGTGCTCCCGCTGTCTGGAGACCTGCGTTCCCCAGGAACAGTAAGCCTCCTGTTAAACCGGGACAGGACCTGGCACAGCGTACATGCTCAATAAACACTGTGGGTGGACAGAATGCTCCACCAGCGACTGGCCTTCCTGGCCCCTGCAGAGCCCACACCAGTGTTTGGGGATGTTCCCAGAAAACGCTCAAGAGGCCTATGTGTAACCCAGTGGTCAGCAAACTCATTAGTCAACAGAGCTAGATGTCAACAGTACAATTGAAATTTCTTTGGAGAGCCAAATTTTTTAAACTTAAACTATATAGGTAGGTAGGTTGTTATTAACTTAATTAGGTACTCTTAAGCTAGCCTTTTCTAAAAACTCAATGGGCCAAAGAGCTGCATGTGGCTTGTGAGCCGCAGTTTGCTGACCATTGGTGTAACCAATAACTGACATTTACATCAAGCACCACTTATACTGGAAGTTCTCCCATGTTGGCCCAGCCAACACCACATGGTCATCACCCCTTCTTCCTCTGGGTCCGATCTTAGTGCCCCACTTCCCCTACACACACAAAGGACAGCAGTCACTGCCACCCATTTGCTGCCCTTTCGGTGTCTCAGACACTGAGTCCGCCTTGTGGGAAAGGCGCTCTGGCCTCAGGATGCCAATAGGGCTGTCCCTAAGGACAGCAGCCATTGGTTTCTCCTGCACCCCTCTGGGCTCAGACCATAAAACCAGCCGGGAGACCCTTCTCTCAAACCCCGGCCACCCTCAGTACCCGCCCCTCTCCCACATAACACATCTCTTCTCCACCTCCCCTGGGAGCGCCTCGCAGAGGCTTGTGTATAACCAATAACTGGCGTTTATATTAAGCGCCGTTCCCTACTCTGTGTTTTAAGTGCTTCACAGGCATAATCCTGGTGAGCCTCCCAACAGCCCGCCCAGGGCCACTTCAGGGCCATTTCGGAGCCGCACACACCAGCAGGCAGCTAGTTGCATCTCTCAGAGGCAGAGCCAGACCTCAGATCCGGGTTGGCAGACTCCAGAGCCCACACTCACCCACTACATGGATACCCTCCCTGCACCCTCAGGGGTCCTCTGCTCCAGCTGGTAGTTTGTCCTTCCTCTACTGGACCCGGGAAGCCACTCACCTCCACCTCCTCTCCCAGGGAATTCTTACTAGTGGCTGCTGCACCTGGGTAACTGGTGACCTCAGGAGTCCGTGTCTACCTGGTAGAAGCGAGTGAGAGATGTTTTCATCCTATTTTTTTCTTTTTCATCCTAAGTTTCAATGCGTCTAATTCTGTAGCCACCAAGAGTCGGCTAACGTATCCTTTAGGGCAGTGTTTCCCAAACTTCTGACATATGTGTACCCCTTCTATAATTTTCGTTAACGCTGAGTACCCCTCGTACTCATGAGAACGTAGAATGAGGCGCAGCTAAGCACGGTGCAGTGCATATCCCCACCAAACTCCGGTGCAACGCGTACCCCCACCAGACTCTTCCCGCACCCCTGGGGGGACGCGTACCACACTTTGGGAAACACTGCTTTAGGGACACCCTCGCGTCTCCTGAGCAGGCCGAGGACTGCCTGGAGCCCCGATCCCCCCCAGGACATTGGGGAATCACACAAAGGTCTCCTTGTTGTTTTTCTGGAGGGGCTTAAGATGACAGCTGGGCCATATACCCACGGCTAGGACACCCGAGCCAAGGAACCGCGTGTGCCTGAGCAATTAACATTTGGCTGAGAGCGAAGCGCACAGAACCAGCTGCTTGCGGCAGCTCTGACGACCAGATCTGACCCTTCGTCCTGTTAAGTGTTCTCGCTACAACTGAGGAATGCCAACAGGAAGCACAGGCCTGCCACAAAGCACCACTGCCAGCTCCGACACCCGGCTGCAAACGGGGAGGCTGGCCTAACAGTGCTGCGGGATGGCTACTGTCCCCTGAGCACTGTGCCAGCTACCACGCCCAGTAGCTACCTAGGTTATCTCATCCTGCTAGGAAGTTGGTGTCGCAGTTCTCATTCGCTGAGGAGGAAACTGAGGCCCAGAGGGTAAGGGCCTTGCTCAAGTGACCCAGCCAGTGAATGCCTGGTCCAAGCTCACAGCCACGTGCACCTCTACCGAAGGCGGAACCAGGCCCCGTTCCCAGGAAGAAGCAGGGCAAACGTCTTAGGCAAAGGAAGCATCTCTCTTGGGTGGAAAGAGGCAGCCAGAGGGACGAACCTGAGGTGGAGAGTGAAAGAAACGCAGGGATGAGCTGAGAAACCACCTCTAGTTAGGACCTGATTTGCAGTCCAGGACGCTCCTGACAAAAGCTGGCGTCCTCCCCACTCCTGAATGCGAAAAGCCAGCTGTCCTTCCTCCCGAAAAAGACATAAACAGGTCACCGCCACCTCATTAGGTCCAGTCCCATCAGCCTCCCTGTTCTTCACAGATGCAGTGGCGGCTTTGAATTTCATGCTTCCCTCCTCCCCGCTGCCTCCTGCACCCCCACAGTGAAGACTGAGTCTGCAACCCGGGCATGTACCCCAACCAGGAATCAAACCATGATCTCCTGGTTCACAGGTTGACGCTCAACCAGTGAGCCACGCTGCTCAGGCTCAATAAAAACATTAAAAAATAACTATTATTATTATTACTGCCATTCAGCACAACATAAGCAAATTTAAAGAAACCCACCCTGAACTTCGTTTTAATCCCTCATGACCTAGTCATAAAACCCGTTATCTATTCAGACAGGAGCAGTGCTTCCTCCCAGCCGGTTTCCTGTTCTTTGGGTTTGAACCACGTGGTCTACACTGCATGCTTTACCCAGCTGCTTCCTCTACTGGACGGACCGGTCCTGCTTTGCTATTCAGATTCCCACAGAGCCTGTGTTTCAGCCCCACCGCTCCACACTACCCGGTTCAACACAACACGACGCAATGATCACCAGGAATTCTCAGTCTCGCCTGAGTCACACACACGAGCAGAACTCTCAGTCTGAAGAGCCTCAGCCTTCGCCACAATCTACTGTAGCAGCTACGGTAGATGGGAGGGGGTTGGGAGCACAGATTCAGTGCAGCAAAAGCAAGAGCTTGTTATGAGCCTTCAAATTAAGTATTGTATGTTTTCAGTTCCTGCAATGCTTTGTTCACTTCTTCCAACGTAACAGAGGCCACGAGGTAGCGGAATGGCCTCTGACTTAAGTAATACCACACAAAGAGGGCGCCTCTGATGCATCCGTCTGCCTCCTGGAACCAGCCGAGGTGGCTCGGGGACGTTCTGTAATCATGACAGCACGGGTCGCAGGAACAATGAAGCAGAGAAGCAGGTGCCTACACGGTTTTACCTACATGCCTTGTTAGAATGGAACCGACGTGCCTGTCCTGCCAGTCAGGAACAATTAGCACAGAGCGGTTCTGAAGAGGAGGAAGAACCCCCGGCATCAGTCCTGGGTGAAGAGAAGTCACCATCTGCCAATGGGCACTGGAATGCTGCTGCATGGGAAGGGGGAAAGGAAGGGGTTGGATGGGATCCAGGGGCCTCTCTGCCCACGTTAGCACTGAGCAGCTTCTCTGCCTGCCAGCCTCACAGTGTCACACATCCTGTGTCTCTGTCTCACACAGGAGGAGGGAGAAACAATTGGCGTAGGAAGCCGGGGACACACACACACACACACACACACACACACACACACGATGACAACGTCACACGGATTGCACAGGCCCGTTCTCCTGGCTTTTGTTTTGTTAATCCTCACCTGAGGATATTTTTCCTTGGACTTTTTAGAGAGGAAGGGAGGGGGAGAGAGACACATCAACCAGGGGCCTCCCCCACACACCCTGACCAGGGTTGGGGATCGGGCCTGCAACCCAGTTATGTACCCTTAACCAGAATCGAACCCAGGACCCTTCAGTCCGTGGGCCGACACTCTATCCACTGAGCCAAACCAGTAGGTTGTGTTTTTTTTAAACCCATGGCTACCTCTGTCCTTGAAGCCTCCATACCAGCCTCCCTCTGTCCTTTCCTCCCTCCCGAAGGGAGAGCCCAGCCTCCTCCTCTGAGACACAGAGATGAGCAATACCTCCGGGTCTTGGCGGCTCACCGCCTCGGAGCTGCTCTGCGTGGGAAGGGAAAGGAGCAGGAGGGGCAGTAGAGAAAAGGAGGAGGATCAGGGCAGCACCTCTAAGCCAGACACAGCTCCCAGAGTTGGAAGCCACAACCATAAAGTTATCAACCAAAGAGGAACCTCGACAGAAACAGAGCATAGCCAGAATTTGCGGGCGAGTCCATAGGAATCCAGGAGCTGCCAAAACTAAGTCATCTTGTCCACAGACCCATCAGCACTGTGATTTCTGGTTCTGATTAAATAAGGCCTATGTCTGTTCCTAAGGGTTAGTCTTATTTTTTCCTTTTTAAATATATTTTTATTGATTTCAAAGAAGATTGGAGAGGGAGAAGGAGATAAAAACATCAATGACGAGAAAGAACCATTATCGGCTGCCACCTGTATGCCCCACACTGGGATCAAGCCCACAACCCAGGCATATGCCCTGATCAGGAAGTGATCTGTGACCTCCTGGTTCATAGGTCTACGCTCACCACTAAGCCACGTCAACCAGGCTAAGGCTTAGTTTTCAATGGGATTAGGTCAAGGGAGGAGAAAGTCTGTTTTCTGAGTAAGGAAACACTTCACAGTGAAAGATGAGTGCGGAGTGACACCCCCTGCAGCTGTAGTTTTTAATCTTTAGTCACACAACCTCAAGAACTGGTTAGTTCCAGGGCAGCGCGCCAATTCATTCATTACCTGGACCAGTTCTCTCCGTCCGCATCTCCACAATACAGTGCCACCAAGCAATATGTTCATCTAGGAGAGAATGTTTAAAAGAATGCCTGTCCAAAAATGGCCCTTGCTTCCCCTGTGCTGTTCAGAAAGGGAGGGGGGGAAAAAACAAAACAAAAAAAACCCACAAACAAACAAAAAAAAAACCACCACAAGAAAGCAACATAACCCAAACCCTGTACCAGCCAGCTGCCCTGTCTTCCCAGGGCGTTTTCAGTGGGGTTTCTGCTGGGCCCTGACCCCCACCCCACACACCAGTGAGGAGAGGGGCAGGGCGGAGTGGAAAGAGAAACCAGACACAGGCGCGTGCCGGCACGTTTTTAGACGGGGTTAAAATGCCGCGGTGTGCACAGGAAGCAGGCAGAGACGATTTCTGAGGGAGGCAGCGCCTGCAGGCAGAGGAGCCATCTGTCTACTCTTGGGGGGAGCTCCCTGGATCAGGACAGGGAAGCTAGGGGGCCTCGAGGAAGCTGTTGGTCCGGAAGATGGAGGAGACGATCTTGCCGGTGGCGTTGATGGTGCCTTCGCTGTCCGAGCTGGACTCCGAGTCGCTGCTCCCGGAGTAGGCGCCCAGGCCTGGCAGGATGCCGATACAGACCGCAGCCGAGGGGCAGTGGAGGGAGGGACCGCCCAGGGACGTGCTTCCGAGAGCCACGCGAGACGAGGCTTCTGCAAAGGAGGAGGGAGGACTTTAGCTGCATCGCCCCCCTCCACAGCTGATGGTCTGCTCTCCATGTCCACACCCTGTGCCGAGGGCTTTACCATGGAAGCCTCCAAACCACCCTGTGCCGGCGACACTACTGCCCCCTCACCCTCTAGCTCACCTCCTCCTCCACATCTGAGGGCGGAAGCCTCGGCCAGGGAGCATGTGAGACCAGCGAGCGGGGAATGCCACCACGTGGGCGGAGGCTCTCTGGCCCCAGGACACCCCGTTACACTGCCACCTTAGTGACGGAAAGCCTCAATCTAGAGAACGCAGGCCTTAAGGATTGAAGGAAAAGTTAAGAGGTCCACTCCTTCTTCCTTCTACGCGTTCCCAGCCTCAGCCATTTCAACAACCTGCCATGCAAGTTTTATCCCTCATTCTACAGGTGAGGGAGGTCAAACGGCCTGCTAGGTTACAGGCCACTTAGAGGAGAAAATGTTCAACTAAATCTGAATCAAAAAAATCATGTTCTAAAGGTTTCCTGAGCTCTTCCCTGCAGAGGAAGAGCTGGAGTTCAAACTTCACCATCTCAATTGACAAGCATACTATCTTCCATGCCAGCGGTCAGCAAAATCATTAGCTAACAGAGCCAAATGTCAACAGTACAACAATCAAATTTTTTCAAAGTAAACTTCTTCTAATGCCACTTCTTCAAAACAGACTCGCCCAGGCCATGGTATTTTGTGTAAGAGCCACACTCAAGGGGCCAACGAGCCCCATGTGGCTCGCGAGCCGCAGTTTGCCAACCACGGTTCTAGGGTTTGTCTTATCAAAGCCCAAACTAACAGCTCATGTAAATATGGAAAGGATACATGGTTCCTAGTATATAAAATCAGGGGTAAGCAAGAAATACACTGAAAAGCTGAGAGATCTCTCAAATGCCCTCACACAGAGTTCAGGACTGGAATCTATCTCCTTATCTTACTGAAAGGTCTAACAAGGGGGGAAAGCTGGGAAGATAGGCAGTGTGAAAACAGGGAGATGGAGAAAAGTGGACTGAGAGCTGACAGTGACTGCGGGAGTGGTCATAAGGCCACAAGGAAGTAGAGGCAAATACCTGCAACAACTATCACAAAAACTTCCAAGATATAAAGAGTTCTTCTGAAACCAACCAACCAGCCAACAGCCAAATAGAAAAGTGGACAAAAGACATGAACAGTCCCAGAAAAAGGAGATGAATTGTAAACACGGGAGAATAAACAATATATAAGAAGGGAACGTATGGGGAACAGTCACCTTCATTTATTGCGGGGTTAGGGGATAGGACAGTTCAGCAATGTCCTTCAAACTTACATGATGTTCCTATGAGAACATTCCCTGCAGCACTGCCGAACGTCCACCGATAGGGGACCATTTAAGTAATGGACTACTATTCAGTCACCAAGAAGAGAAAAACATCTGTTTACTGGTATCAAATGGTCTACAAGACACGGTGCGAAATTAAAAAGACAAGGGTGCGCTTAGGTTATAATTAGTGTGTGTGTGGTGGGACATGCCCAGGTTTACGCATGACAATGTCTAAAAATAGACATTAAAAATTGGCAACAGGGGCTGCTCTGGGGGAAAAAAAAAAACACCTCAGTGTTTGGGAAATAGGAGACACAACTTTCTACTCCACACTCCTTTGTCCCTTTAGAATTTTCTATTTTGTGCATATGCTACCTATTCAGACCAAATTTTTTAAAGGCAAATGCAAAAATCCAAAGAGCATCCTGGGCCTCTTAAATTAGGGAGGGACAGTCCCCCGTGTCTGTGACCACGGGCATCCCAGTATGATAGCCAGGAGAGCTGGGGACGACTGGACAGTCCCAGAGACAACAGGGGTTGCCTGTCTATATTCTCCTCTAACCATGGGTCTCCAGAGGACAAGGGTTCTTTCTCCACCATGCCATCCCCTGGGCATACAGCACGGGGCCTGGCACAGAGCGGGCCAGTGTCCACAGTGTGTGCGAATGCAGAAACATGTGTTCAAGGCACAAGCGTTTCACTGCAAATGGCAAAAATCTATTTTGGGGGGTGGTAATGACATTATACTGTACGCCATTCACTATTTGAACACTGACTGTGATACGTTATATGTACAATGATACTTTCCGTATTCTGTTAGAAAAATATATAGGATATGAGTCAGTTACTTAGAAAAATAACTGTTCAGTGAGATGTGACATTTTGTAAGTATTTCAGGGTGACTTTCAGAGATAGAAAAGAAGGACCAAGTCCAGAGTGCCTGTGAGGACCAGAGCTGGCGGAAGGGAAGAGTGGAAGGCAGCCACAGAAAGGCAACCACAGATCTAGAACTCTGGCGTCAGCAGAGTTTAAGCCAAAAGACCAAATGTCCCAATTATCTAGGAGGCTTCAAGAAAGAAAGGAGACGACGACTCTGACAAAATTTCATTCCAAAAGCAGTTAACTGTCCAAAGAGAACAAAACGGTGCCCTCTGATCTCAGCCATTTGGTGAAGTTTCCTGCCAACTTCTGCGTTTGCAGGACCACATTGTCACAGCAAATTAACACTGAAAATTACTAACAGAACGTGCTTGGGATTCAGACAGCTGCGTGACTTGAGAGTAGATGGGGTCAATGAGTGCATTCTGCAGAGCTGGAGCCCAGAAGCTCCAGTGGGGGAAGCCTGATTCTCCGGGGGGGGGGGGGGGGCTATCTTCTGGGGTCCAGGGGGGCAAATCCTCCTACTGCTGAGGACAAGACCCTGGAGCAAGACACAGCAGCCATTCTTCCTGTGTGGCCTTGGCTCCCAGCAGAAGAAGGCATTCTTGCCCGGCTTCTGCTGTAAGAATGGAATGGGGAGGAAGCATTTAGAATGCCAGAAAAGATGGCTCTGAGCACATGTCTGCCTCACTGTAAAGACCCCACACAGTTTTCCTTTCCACTGATTCATGCAAATACTTCCTACAGAGACTAAGCACCAGATGCAGAGCTACGAATTACCTGGCTGACATATGTTCAAGATTCCCATGAAATATACACAGTATACACTTATGCTATTTAAGCAACCACAGTATATTCTTTCTGAAAAATTATACATGTATAGGATTAATATAACATCATAAGTGAAAAAATGGAAGCTATCTAAATGTTAATAAAAAAATGGGATAAATATACCTTGTAAAACCATATGATGGAATACTAGACAGCCTTAAAAAGGGAACGAAGAGGCTGGCTGGTATGGCTGTTAGTGAGCATCAACTCATGAACCAGAAGGCCACAGTTAGATTCCCAGTCAGGACACTTGACTGGGTTGCAGGCTCTATCCCCAATGTGGGGCATGCAAGAGGCACCCGACTGATGATTTTCTCTCATCATTGATGTTTCTCTCTTTCCCCCTCTCTCCCTTCCTCTCTGAAATTGATTATATATATATATATATATATATATATATATATATATATTTTTTTTTTTTTTAATTTTTTTTTTTTTTTTTTTTTTTTTAAGTAGACTGTACAGCAAAAGGTATCAGCAACAGTTGGCCATTACTGGTGCTCAGTAGATACCTAGTATTTTAAAATAACCTTTTTTTTTTTTTTTTAGAGAGAGAGAAAATGAATTAGGCCCGTTTTATGGATGACCCACTGAGTTTAGCTCAGACTCTCAAGCCCACAGGGAGTAAGGGGTAGAACAGAAAACACTCCTGAATTTCCCCTTCTTGATCCAGCACGCAGGATACACTCACCTTCACTTACAACTGTGCCACTTAATGCAGTGTCAGATTTGACCACATAAACCTAACCACCAAAGAATGCGTAGTCCTGGAAACTATTAAAACTAGGCTCAATCCGATCCAACCACCAGCAGGAGCCAGGCATTCTACCTCTCACTGGCAGCATGCCAGGTGAAATGAAGAAACTTGACATTTGGGGAAAACAGAGACAAACGCTTTGTGAGAAGAGGTGATAGGACCAGGGCTTTGTACGCACTCCTAGGGAGCACAATGGCCACTTGTCAGTTCCACGGGTGTCTAACACAGTGCTTTGCAGGGCAGCTGACATACTCGGGTATAAATCCTGTCCGGTAAAAAAAACTTGGTCAATTAAGTGTAGGTAGGCCTGCTTTGAGATAAATGCAGTCTTTCATGAGGGCAATGCATTCCAGCCCTTTACTATGTGTATTAGGAGTTAAGAACGAAGTGGAAGCTGCCACCCACCTTGATTCTTGTCATCTGGGTCAGGGTCCGATTTCAGCCTTTTTACGCTGTTGCCACTCTCTGAGCTGTAACAGAAAACATGGTGATATGAGCTAAGTCCAATCTCGAGGATCAAAGCTTTGGGACCAGGCGCTCCAATAAACATTTATGTGTCTCTGAGGCAGCCTCAAGGAACTGGAATGATCTGAAATAAAAAGTCTTCATTTCAGAGTCTCCCTCTGGTTATAATACTGCTTATAAAGACAACTTAAAACCCTGACCAATGCAAGGGGTAAAGTGTTATGTATACAACCATTTCCTACACTTCAGATCCTTTGTTGTCCTCATCATTCATCTTGGAAAGAACCATAGGTGGGTTTCAAGACTATCTGAACATGTTCATAAGTGACAAAAATTCAGTTTTAAAGTTATTAAAGACCAAAGGGAACATCTTTAGTGATATGTTAGAGGTTCTGAAAGTGACCCAAAAGGCCTTAATTAAAAGATCATCTACACAGTGTAATTCAATGAGGAAGAAAATAATTCAGGAAGGACGGACTTAATTCCAGAAGGAAGGAATGGTGGGGAGAAAAAAGAACACACACCAAAAACCTGGCAAATACAAATATAAATCTAAACACAATTGTTGTCTAAAACAACAACAACAACAAAAATCATCTAATTTATGGTGTCAAACATGATCATACAAAAGTCCTAAGCATGTAAGAAAGGAAGGAGGTGATTGTAGCTAAAAAGTCCTAGGGTTGGTGTATAATTTTGCAGGGAAATAAGATGGCTATTTACTTTAGGTTTTCCTAAGTATGCTGGTCAATTGCAAGGTTAGCCATCAAGAGAGCAGAAACAGAATACCTAAACCCAAACTAGTAGGAAGAAAGAAAAACTGAATGAAGTAATTTTTCATCTTAATTTTTTTAAAGTAAAAAGAATACAAGAAAAATAATTCTTTAGGGGAGATCCAAGATGGCTGCGCCCAGGTGAACACCTAGCCGCAGCCGCACACAACAATTTCAATAAAATACAACTAAAATATAAAACGGACATTGCCCAGAACTACAGGAAGGTTGACTGACTGGAAATTCTACAGTGAGAAGCAAGGAGAAAACCAGAAGGAGGCGTGGAGGAGCTGGAAAAGCCAAGGTACGGAGACGCGGAGACGCGGCGCGCAGAGAGGACAGAGCCGGAGAGGAGGGAGGCCGAGTGCCTGGCGGGCGTTCCCTAGCGGAAAGGAGATAAAACTCCGACTGTGCTGGGCCCCCAACTGCTCTGATCCCCAGTTTTAAGCCAGACCCCGGGGACTCAGGCTCAGCCATAGGGAGCCGGGCTGTAAGGCGGAACCCCGCGGAGAGGCGAAAGGAGGTCCCGGAGGCGCGCACATTGCGCGCAGAGAAGGGACGATCGGCTGTGCCGCGGGATTGCCCTGACGGGAAGGAGACTGGGGCTCCAGACTGCTCTGAACGCCACCTCCAACTCCACTTCCAACTGAACTGAACCCCAATACCGGGCTCATTGTGGGAGAGCATAGACTGTTTGACAGCAGGCGAAAATCGAGGGCACCTTTCTCTCAGAGGCCCCGGCAGCGAGCACTGAAGGACCTGCATAGGGCGGGGCTGACGGAAGCCAAAGCTGCAGGCTCCACCCTGAAACCCCGTCCCATCTGTAACTGGGAAATGCGACAACAAAATAGATCACAAACGAAAGAAATGGAGGACAAAAAGCGTCTGGATATAGAGTTCAAATCTACGCTTATAAGGTTTTTCAAGAATTTCCTAGAAAAGATGGATAAGGCCTATGAGGATATGAAAAGAGATCAACTAGAATTAATAAGGGATCAACAAGACATAAAGAATACATTGTCTGAAATAAAAAATATTTTACAGAGTCCTAAAAACAGAAGGGAAGATCACAAGAATCAAGTCAAAGATTTGGAACATAAAGAGCCAGAAGACACTCCTCCACAGAAGCTAGAAGGCAAGAGAATCCAGAAAATTGAAGATAATGTAAGAAACCTCTGGGACAACTTCAAGCGAACCAACATCAGAATTATTGGGGTCCCAGAAGATGAGAGAGAGCAAGATATCGAAAACATACTGAAAGAAATAGTGACAGAAAACTTCCCCCACCTGGGGAAAGAATTAGACTTACAAGTCCAGGAAGCGCATAGAACTCCAAACAAAAGGAATCCAAAGAGGACCACACCGAGACACATCATTATTAAAATTCCAAGAGCAAAAGACAAAGAGAGAATATTAAAAGAAGCAAGAGCAAAGAAGGTAGTAATCTATAAAGGAGCACCTATACGATTGTCAGCTGACTTCTCAACAGAAACCATGCAGGCCAGAAGGGAATGGCAAGAAATATTCAAGGTGATGAATAGCAAGAACCTACAGCCAAAAATAATCTACCCAGCAAAGCTATCACTCAGAATCGAAGGCCAGATAAAGAGCTTCACTAATAAAAAAAAGCTAAAGGAGTTCATCACCGCCAAACCAGATTTATATGAATTGCTGAAGGGGGTTCTTTCAGAAGAGAAAGTAAACAAAGATAAAAATTATGAACAACAAATACGTAACTATCAACAAGTGAATCTAAAAACCAAGGAAATTAAAAAAATCTGATGAACAATATTAACTATTGAATATAATAGAATCAGAGGTATGGAAGGGGAGTGAACTGACAATTCTTGGGGAAAAGGGGAGAGGGGGGCGTGGGAAGAGACTGAACATAAACTGTGCACATATGGATGAGGACAATGGGGAGAGGGGAAAGGGCAGAGGGTGGGGTGGGAACCTGGTGGAGGAGAGCAATGGTGGGGGGGGGGGAAGGAACATTTGTAATAATATGAACAATAAAAACTTATAAAAAAATAAAAAAAAATAAAATATAAAAAAAAAAAAAAATAATAATTCTTTAAAGATAAATAACATTAAGGCAGTAAAAACTGTGTCACCCTGGCTGGGTAGCTCAGTTGGTTAGAGCATCATCCTGATAGGCCAATGAATCAACCAATGAAGGCATAAACAAGTAGAAGAACAAATCGATGTTTCTCTCTCTCCCCCTTTTTTCTCTCTCAAACAAACAACTTTTTTAAAAAGTATCAAAAATCCTAATAAATCCAAACCTACCAGTAAAAAGATATCAACAGACTAAATTTTAAATCTGCTACATATGACACACACCTAAAAACAAAATAAGATAATTCCAGATAGAAACAATCAGAAAAAAAAAAACCAAGCTAACAACTTTAATGTATTTGAAACAAGACAAAATGGGTGAATTCCCAGAAAATAGAACCAAATAAAACTGACTCAGAAAGATATGAACTTAGTCCTATAATCATAAAAATGTTAAAGGGAGGATAAAATGATTTTATCTAGTTCTACTAAGCTTTCAAAAACTAGAACCCTACCCACTTATATACACACACTCCTGAAGAGAAGAAATACTCCCTAAATCATTCTATGAAGCTAGTTTTCATTTTCATGTCAAAATCAGATAAAGCCAAAGTTGGTTTGGCTCAGCCGTAGAGCGTCGGTCTGCAGACTGAGGGGTCCCGGGTTCGATTCCGGTCAAGGGCATGTACACTGGTTGCGGGCACATCCCCGGTGGGGGGTGTGCAGAAGGCAGCTGGTCAGTGTTTCTCTCTCATCGACGTTTCTGGCTCTCTATCTCTCTGCTTTCCTCTCTGTAAAAAATCAATAAAATATATATATTTTTAAATCAGATAAAACTGGGGGGTGGGGGGGTGATATACAGGCCAGACTCCCTCAAGAACATAGATTCAACAACTGATACAAAATAGGAGCAAAACAAGCCAGTGGAGTTAAGAAAAATAACACTATGTCACTGCCAAGCCGGGTTTCTCACAGGAAGGCAACATCTCTAAATTTACCTTTTCACTGTAACAGAATAAAGAAAAAATTATTTGATCATCTCAAAAGCAGAAAAAGAACAAGACAAAATTTAACAGTTAACGGCTACAAAAGAACCTCTTATCAACCTAGGAACAGAACTTCCTTAACTTGCTTGCCAAAGGATAGATGAACAAACAAAACGATCAATGCTAATCTTAGAAGTGAAAGTTATAAACATTACTAGAGGCCTGGTGTACAAAATTCGTGCACGAGGGTGGGGGGGGTCCCTCAGCCCCGCCTGCACCCTCTCCAATCCAGGATCCTCAGGGGATGTCCATCAGGATCAGGCCTAAACCGGCAGTCGGACATCCCTCTCCCAATCTGGGACTACTGGCTCCTAACCACTTTGCATGCTTGTCTGATGCTCCTAACTGCTCCCCTGCCTTCCTGATCTCCCCTAACTGCCTCTGCCTGCCTGTCTGATTGCCCCTAACCACCTCTGTCTGCTGCCTGATAGCCTAACCTCCTCTGCCAAACGGCCTGGTCACTACTAACTGCCCTCCCCTGCTGGCCAGGTTACCTCTAACTGCCACTGTTTGGCCCTCACTACTGTGGCTCTGTCCAGAAGTACATCCGGATGGATGTTCAACCCAATTAACATATTACCCTTTTATTAGTATAGATGTTTAAAACTAGAATGTGCAGAGTTTGTTTCTAACGTTTTACTGGTGGTCCTAGCCAGTGAGGTAAGATAAGAAAAAGGAATTAAAAAACACAAGGAAGCGAATAAATCTGTCCTTACTTACAGATGGTAACTTTCTACATAAAAATTTCAAAAGAATCCACTGATAAGTTATTAAAGTTATTAAGAGCTGGTGGCTGGATGGAAATATTCCACTGACTGCATTTTTACACACCAGCAGCAAAAATATACATAAAATACTTAGGAATAAATTTAAGAAAAAATGTACACAACTTTTTTTTTCAATGAATGTTTTTATTGATTTCAGAGAGGAAGGGACCAGGGGAGGGGGGGGAGGGAAACATCAATGATGAGAATCATTGACTGGTTGCCTCCTGCATGCCCTCCAATGGGGATTGAGTCCACAACCCAGGTTCATAGGCCGACACTCAACCACTGAGCCACACCGGCTGAGCTATGCATAACTTTTTTGAAAAATAATTACAAGACTGTATAGAATGGCATTAAAGAAAATCAATAAATGTAGATATATACTATACCACGGACAAAAAGACTCAAATCCATAAAGATCTGTTCTCTCTATAAATTTATCATTCAATTTAAATAACATTCCAATAAAAATTTCAATAGAGATTTTTTAAAAACTTAAATCTAAAATTTATATGGAATAAAGTGGCCAAGAATAGATATGACTTGCCTGACCAGATATCAAGATTTATTATAAAGCAACAATAATTACCCAGAATGGTATAGGTCCAACAGATCCAAGGACAAGAAAAAAAGACCCCTCACACAAACCAATATATGAATGGAAACTTGTTATAAGACAGGGTGATATTAAAGACACCTTGGGGGAGGAGGGGGGAGTACACATATTTAGTAAAAGCTGCTAAAAAATTAGCTTTTCGTTTGAAGAAAAAAAATTGAAATAGGATCCCTACCTCATACCCTTCCCAAAAATCAGTAACAGATGGATTCAAGACTACCATGTGAAAGACAAAACTCTAAATTAAAAAAAAAAAAAAACTATCTTATGACCTCAGGTTAGGAAGAATTTGGTGAATAAAATACAAAATGATCTAACCATAAAATACTGGTAGATTTGACCACCTTCAAATGGTACAAATTTCCGGTTATAAAGTAAACAAGTCTTGGGGATGTGATGTACCATCTGGTGACTAGTTAGTAATACTATATTGTACAGAGACTAGTTAATAATATGCATTGTGTATCTGAAAGTCCCTAAGAGTAGATCTTAGTTCTCAGCACAAGAAAAACACTGTAAATATGTGTGGTGATGGATGTTAACTACACTTAAATAGACTCCCAGACTGACTCACTGCAAACTTACTGCACCAGAATGTGTGTGAGGCTTAGAAGCCATATTAGCAAACGCCAAGTGATTCTAATAAACCCAGGCTGGAAACATTAGGAACACCAGCCCAGGAGACTCATTTATCACCTTGCTACACAAAGTAACAACAAATGATGTAGTTTCAAAACCTTGCTACATAAAGTAGCAATAAATGATATAGTTTCAATATATGCATGTCACTGAGCACACTAAGGACCATCAGGGAGACAGTTATAAGACCCGTTCTGCTGGCTGCAAGACACTGCCGAGGTAACTGCCCACTATAAAGCCCTTTCTTGGCGCAATCCAGGAAAACGGACTCAGGCCCAATCCTGAAAGACACTGGGCCAAGCAGGAGAGCTTCTGGGAAAATGTGCAAGGAATAATTCATAGCTCGGGCAATGAGCCCTCTTCAGGCTGCTGATCCTCCTCCCTCTGCTGCTATCTCATAACGACATTTTTACACATAAACAACATTCTATTGTAGAATATCTGCAGCAGATGAATGGTGTGCCAAGCCACAAACTGCATCAACATACTCCCTTCAATACACATGGCTGGCTGACCATACACCATATTGATTTTCCTAATGGACTGCACTTAAGAACTTTCTATCACTTTGCCCGTGGATTGGTGGTCAAACTGAAATGACCAGATTTAATCGCTTTGGTGCCGTTCAGGATTTGGAAGGGGAGGAGCAAACATGACAAAGAACTTACCTACATCTCCGGGCACTGCGGCCACCCCCGCAGCAATCAGGCAGAGCCCAGCCAGGCCTGTGCCCCGTCACAGGGCCATGTTCGTGCAGCCACAATGCCTCTCCCCGTCCGCCTGTCAAAGTCCTAGTCATCCTCACTACTCAACATCTCCTCTCTAAGCCTCCCTAACCTCTCCAGCAGGAGCACACCCCCCCGCCGGGCAGCCTTAGGTGTGTCCTCTTCCCTGCTCTTCTTTCGTAGACCTTGCTACCTCGTCTGCCTAGAAACACAAATACCCGACTGTCAAACTCCGCCTCTCCTATTATTTTGTGACTTTGGATAAAAGTTCTCAAATTCTTGGTCTCCTCGCCTGGTAAGTCATTTGCACTTCATGCACTTGTTGAGGAGGCAGAAGTGAGATCATGCGCAGAAAGCACTAAGCACAATGCCAGGCGCCCAGCAGGTGCCTGCGGCAGAGTGGCCATTATTATGCTGAACCAATGGTCAGAGACCAGGGTCAGAGGCTGCGGACCACACCAGATGGGGAAGGGGAGAGCCAGGGGAGGCTCCCGAGGGAACGTCACGGAGACTCACGCTGAGCTCTGGCTACCGTCCCGAGAGGCACTGCAGAGGACACGGTGAGAGGGAGGTTTAAGCTGGGCAGGTGTCGGCTGACCTCTTATGCTTCACAGCTCCCGCCAGCAGCTTGGCCTGGGAGAACTTGTTCTTGCTTTCCGCGGGCTTCACGGCCACTTTCTTCTCCGCTTCCTTCTTGTTTTCTGGAGAAATTCCAACCTTGTGGAGATTACTGTGAGTTACAGGTTAAGGGTCAAACTCAGCAAGAGGAGGAGCTGTGCCAGAACAATGATAAACGGGAAAAGAATGCAAGCCTAACCCACTAGCACTCTAGCTCTGCCAAGTAATGCTTAGCCTTGGTTTAAAAAAGCCCTATGATTTATTCTAACAGTCAAATCCAGCTGATTTCAAGAAAAATGAAGGTGAGCACAGAGGAAGATGGCAAATCAAGCATAAAATCATATGGGCAAGGGAACTTTTCCCCTCTGATTCTCTATGAAAATCTGAGTACAGCCAGAAAACCTGCTGCTACTGAAGACAGTCAATATCATGCTCGCTGGGGAAAACAAAAACCTTAAGGAATAGAAATGCAACAGAAAAAAAATATGGCTTCCCTGAAAAGGTTTGCTTTTCCAGTTTTGCAGAATGTCCTAGGACTATTAATGGCATCAATCTTAGACACGACGAAGACTGCCTCCCACTCTGCTGGTGCAAGGCAACATCAAAGCCACTGAAGTTCGTTCAAAAACAGAGTGTTCGTATCCATCAGTCACCACCCCCCTCCTGTCACAAGCCTCCTGAACGCGGACCTCCGGAGGCCCAGGAACCAGTTTTATATTCCGCCTCAAAGTGATTTTACCAAGAACCCTGTGCACAGACAACACAACGCAAGAACCAAAAAGTTCATTTTGAAGCATAACCTGTTCCTGGTAGCATCGCTTTTCTCATGCTTGATGTCTATCTCTGGCTTCCAAGGTCTGTCACTTTCTTTTGTTCTCTCTACCTGCCTCCTCTCTACCTTCCCTTTCGTTCTCTCACAACCTATTATGCAATAGATGAGCATTCCAACAGGGTGCCGCTCCTTGCTCCTTACTTAAGACGCAGTCGAACCTTCTTGGAACAATAGTGACATCTAGTGCCCAAGGAATCTGAGAAGCGGACTGCATTATCAACACCAAGTGGTGGGGATGGGGTGTATGGTCTAAGCTGTTTGTCTTTAAACAATGGAGAACACTGGGTACCAGAAATAAGGAAAGTTTCATTCTGATCACTTACCAGGCTTTATCTCTGTTCTTATGAACACTAGGTATCTTAAATATTTGCACTATTCAATGGGGATTATGTATATAGCTCAATACTACTGTGAGTTTCGTCAGTTTCATATTTTTAAGGTCATTAATGGGAACAGACAGGATGTTAATACTAAATGTTCATCCTTTTTAAGAATAAAAATGGAGGGAGAGACAGACAGACAGACATCAATTGGATGCCTCCTGAATGCATCCAGACCAGGGATTGAACCCACAACCCAGGTATGTGCCTGACTAGGAATTGAACCCGAAACCTTTCAAGGCACCAGAGGGCCCTCCAACATACCAAACCACCTGGCCAGAACTGTTACTGTAATTTTTAAATGCATTAATAAACAGTTTAAATTTGGAAAAAAGAAAAGAAAAAAAAAAGAAAGAATAAAAATGAGCCCTAGACGGTTTGGCTCAGTGGATAAGAGTATTGGCTTGCCGAAACCGGTTTGGCTCAGTGGTAGAGCGTCGGTCTGCAGACTGAGAGGTCCCGGGTTCAATTCTGGTCAAGGGCACGTACGTTGGCTGCGGGCACATCCCCGGGTAGGGGATGTGCATGAGGCAGCTGGTATATGTTTCTCTCTCATTGACGTTTCTGGCTCTCTATCTCCCTCCCTTCCTCTCTGTAAAAAATCAATAAAATATATATATATTTTTTTTTTAAAAAGAGTGTCGGCTTGTGGATGAGAGAGTCCACATGTTCAGGTTGCGGGCTTGATCCCCATTGGGGGGTGTGCAGGAGACAGTGGATCAATGATTATCTCTCATCATTGATGTTTCTCTCTCTTATCCTCTCCTTTCCTTTCTGATAACAATAAAAATGTATTTAAAAAAGAAAGAGTATAATCCATAGACACAAACAATAGGGTAGTGAAGGCTTCGGGGGGGAGGTGGGAGAGGGCAATGGCGGGAGAATATGTAATTCTTTCACAAAAAGATTTATAAATAAAAAAGAATAAAAGTGAAAGAAACAGATTTTATCTTTCTAGTTTAGAATGCCAAAACCCATGAGCATGCTGTGATTTCCCCCTACAACTCCAACATTAAGGAATAGAAGCTCAAAGAAAATTCTTAATATTAAATGTTGAAAAATAAAATAAATTGGAATTAGCACAATAAAAGTACTCATGTATATATAATACCAGGACAAAAACAAAAAACCTCCTTAGCCGAAACTGGTTTGGCTCAGTGGATAGAGCATTGACCTGAGGACTGAAAGGTCCCGGGTTCGATTCTGGTCAAGGGCACGTACCTTGGTTGCGGGCACATCCCCAGTAGGGAGTGTGCAAGAGGCAGCTGATCGATGATTTTCTCTCATCAATGTTTCTCTCTATCCCTCTCTTCCTCTCTGTAAAAAAAAAATCAATAAAATATATTTTTTAAAATACCTTAATTTTTTATTCTTTTAAAGTGGAGAAAAGTAAAGTGAAGAAAAGTGTTCATTCTTTTCTTTTGGAGGAGTGGGGAAGAAGGGAGGAAGATGGTAATATTATTTTTGATCCATATCCAAAGCATAAGCAATTTTTTCCTGTAAGTCACTCTCCTATAAAATGCTTTAAATACACAAAAACACCTCAAATTTTGATTTTGCCCTAACCAGTTTAGCTCAGTGGATAGAGCGTCGGCCTGTGAACTGAAGGGTCCCAGGTTCGATTCTGGACAAGGGCATGTACCTTGGTTGCGGGCACATCCCCAGTAGGGGGTGTGCAATAGGGGGCATGTAGGAAGCAGCTGATCGATATTTCTCTCTCATCGATGTTTCTAACTCTCTATTCCTCTCCCTTCCTCTCTGTAAAAATCAATAAAATATATTTTTGTAAAAGAATTTTGATTTAATCAGGTTACATTTGGGATGTCTATTAGGATATCCAAATGGATGTTAAAAAGGCAATACTGAGCCAAAGCAGTCATCTTTGTTGCTGCTCTACTCCTATTTGGGGACAGACAGGGAAGGTTACTAAGGACAAAGAAAGCTGCTAAACATTTTATTTTAAAACCCAGAGGCCAGCTTTTCCCCTAGATGAGGTTTACTGCATAGCCCATCTGTTTCAGAGCCTAATCTCAAAAGGGTATATTATTAGGATTTAGGCCTTTATTTAATTCTAAAGGATCTGGACTTTTGATTGCACCAGGTTCTTAAATGCAACATAACTCCATGAATCAGTACCAGTTAGTTATTCAGTCATCAAAATACACCATTGGAAGGGCCGTCGTGGCTCAATGGTTGAGCATTGATGAAGGTTCAATTCTTGGTCAGGGCACATGCCCAGGTTGTGGGCTCGATCCCCAGTAGGGGGTGCACAGGAGGCAGCCGATCAATGATTCTCTCTCATCATTGATGTTCCTCTCTTGCGCTCCCATCCTTTCTGAAATCAATAAAAACAAAGACCTTCATTCTGTTTATTAAGAAACCAAAATCGTAGATGTTGATGGGAAAACTGACACCTTCTCTCAAAGTATCATACAAAGGATATTCTGTATTCCTTCAGTTCTTTCAGTTCTTCTTCTCTTCGCTGCTTTTCTATTAATTCCTGCTGCCGAGAAACCTCATCAAGGAAGTTGGTCTCATCTTCATCTAAGCCTCTTACCATGTTTTCTGAGGAAATAATTTAAAAAGGAACACTTAGCACGCTTAAGGGAAAATACAGTCAGATAAGCTTTTTCCTTTTCCTCTTTTTTAATAAACAGCAGATACTTCAGGGGATTAGAGGAAGGATTTTGTAAACACCGTGGCTTTGGAATAGATAGCATGCCATAAAATCTAGGCATTTCTCCCATTACTAGATATTAGCATAGAGTGAAAATGGGCATCTGGAGCTCTAAACAAAATGCTCGATGTGGTCTAGAAGGCGGAAGTTTGTCTCTCTCCCAGCAAACAAGCATTTAGAGACCAGATAATCACGGCAGTTCCATGGCTAGTTAGGACAAGTGTCGCATGAGGTATACGTGCATCAAAAAGCCCCCTCGGACACCCGTGGCCTCCGTGCTCCCTGAAGCTTACTGAATTTGAACTGCTCCTCGTACTCCTGCTGCTTCCTGTCTTTCTGCTCCTGCAGCCTTTCATATAGCGACCGCGGGTCATACACCTCCTCGGGACATTCTGAAAGAAACAGGAAGGGAGAAAGAAGGGGGGTGGGGGGGCTACATACTTTAGAACTCTTTCATATTACTTTGGAATCACAAAGGAACATAAAGACCAAGTCAAGTCCCTGCAGGAGCTGAGGGCAAAGATGACACAAAAATAGTACAAAGTCCATAGCTCCCCTTTGGAACTCAGAGCCAACTGTCAATGTCAATGTCTCAGCTGTTCAGATCCTAGACCCTCCTGTCTAGATAGAACAGACTAGTAGAATCGCCTGGAAGACAGTGGGGTAGAATGAAAAGGGCAAGGACATGATTAACCTGGCTCTGCTTCCCACTGTGGAGGCCTGGCACAGGCTCCTTCACCCCGAGCCTCCGTTCCTCTAAAGCACATGTGTCAAACACAAGGCCCGCGGGCCAAATCCGTCCCGCCAGGCCTTGCAATGTGGCCCGCACCGCGCTGTCATCACTGCACTCCGCTGCGTTTCCATCACAATGACAGTTTATGACTGTTCAGTAAACCATTCGGCCCGCGATTTAGGCTGGATTTTAGATTTTGGCCCCTTCTCTGATTGAGTTCGACACCCCTACTCTAAAGTGAGGACCTGGAACCTCCTCTGCAGGCTTGTGGTGAGGATTAGCACCATGATGTTGAATGGCCACCTGGAAGCTCACGTACCTTCTGGATCTTCAGGTTTTCGAACTTTCTCCCATTCTTCTTGCCTCCTCTTGCGCCGTTCGTCTAGTTCTGCCTCAGTCACAAACCTCTTTTTGATAACAAGGTTACCATCATCTCCTCCATCCATAATGGAACAATCAGTCTATGGGAAACAAACAAAACATTTCAAGTGAGAACTGCAATTAAAATTCCACAGAGAAACAAGGAGATTTAGCTCTCTCACCCAGCAATGGATTACCTCAAAATTCCCTTCGACCCTGAATTGAAGAAATCCTCAAATAGTTTAATTTATAGGACACTGATAAAAAACACTTGATTACATTTTCCCTGATGTATGAAGTAGTTTTAACAACCCTAAGTTATCTAGGAAGTCAGCAAGAGGACCTGGAATGATTCCCATTGCACGCTGCCCCACAGTACATCTTACACTGCAAGTACTTCTGTCTCTGATCCAGACCGATTGGCCTGGCCACTCTTTTTCCCGCTCGCGTTGTCCTTTATTTCTGTGATATCTGGTATTGTTCTTTCTTGGAATTCCTGTTTCAGGGACATCACACTACCTCGATTCACCTGTTCTTATTTTCGAGATGGAAAAACTCGGCTATTCAGGGAGCCTTAGAGATCAAGTCTGGTCTATAAAGCAGGAAAGTGATCTGCCTAGAGGCACACAAAACATGAATGGAAAAAGTGAGACTAGAAGAAGCCCCATGTCCCAGCTTCAGAGTCACTGTATTCTGCATTACACTCAACTCCTCCTCCATCTCTTTCCTGATCTTCCTTCCTCAAATTCCGTAGCTGTGCCACTTGGTTCTACCTTCAGCCCTTCTGTTTGCTCATTCCCGCGATGACCTCAATCACTTTATCATTTCTTGATGCAGAAGACTCCCAAATCCCAATCTATATACCTCTAGCTGATACTCTCACAAAGGAAGGGGAGAGGGAATAAGGATATAGAGAAGGGGGGAAAAGAATAAAGATATAGAGGTGTGTGTACTACTTCTTTTTAAAAAAATTTTTTTAGAAACACCACATGACCTCACTCATTTATGGATGATAAAGATCATTATAAACTGATGAACCAAAAGATAGATATAGAGACAGTAAAGCAACAAGCAGACTGTCAAATTATAGCGGGAAGGGAGGGAGATCTGGGGGAGATAAGAGATCAACCGAAGAACTTGTATACATGCATATAAGTACAACCAATGGACACAAAACTTTGGGGAGGGTGGGTATGTATGGGAGGGGCGGGCAATGTTAAAATATGTACACAGATAATAATTTAATTTAAAAAAATAAAAATAAAAAATTTAAAAAAATGTTCTGCTTTTCTTTGCTGCTGTCTTTCCTTTTGAAGAACTGTTTTGTGCTCTTCACAGAATCACATGCTAACAAGGAAGTACACATTCTGCACTACTGGCACATCGATCCAATGTCCATTTCAGGTTGATCCCTAATAGCCAAAATAACAAGTCTACTGGTTGCATGAAAATAAAGTAGCAATCACTTACTGAGCTCCACCGTGTACTGAAAGCTTTTTATGTATATTATCTCATTTACACTCACAATGACCCTATGAGAAGTTTATCTCTTTACCGAGGAAGAAATAGAGGCCCAGTTAGTCAGTCAGTCATCTAAGGTGATAAAGCTGGTGGACGGTAGAACTGAGATTCAAATCCAGGCCTGACATCAAAAATTCTTACCCACTTCACCACGCCCCTTTCCAGAAACCAGGGCTCCTGGTTGAAAAGCACATGTCCATTTCAGCTTTCTTCCTAAATCAAATTCCAGTGCTGAGAACTTGCAACATTTTTCTTTAATAAAGATGGAAAAGAAAGCAGAGAAAACAAATCCAAACCTTCAGAAAAAGAGAATATTCTCAGGCTAAGCCCCACTGTTACTGAAGTTCAGTTGAGTGTAACAATGAGAGATTTTTATTTTATTTTTATTTTTATTTACTAGAAAGAAAACTAAATCAATAGACAGAAGCTGTTGCTCCCACCCAGAAACCACAGCCTGGATGCTTCTGATTTTGCATCACTCCATCTCTCCTCCCAGAAGCCTGTTTCAGAAACAGAATTATGCAGTCTCTGAGCATGCCAAACATTCCTCCGTTCTGCAGAATGACCTCTTGTGAAACAGGAGCCAGCATTTTCTTAAACATTCCTGGCAGAGACATGTCGGCTATGAATGACGCTAATGGATGAGAGACATATAGACCCTCAATCCCTCTCCTTATCCTCTATTAGCTGCCGCTCTCCTTTCTCTCCCTACATTGACAGTCTGGTTTCTTCCCCTCACTCTTACTTCCTGGTAAATAACTCAGTGGGATGGGTCCTTACCACTCACCGAATCTGACCCTCCATCTGGTATCTGAGGTTTTCATCCAACTCATATTTAAAAACTTCAAGATGGGCCACCACAATCCCTCCAAGAGCAGACCTGACTGACAGTATAGTTCTTCCTTAAACTCAAATTTGTCTCCCTACAAATTCTACTCATTGGTTAGATCCTCCAAGGAAGAAACAAAAGTAGCCAAAGCTTTTTTCAACATGACAAATACTTCAGCTCTTTGAAGACAATGCCCATGTTCCTCCTGTTTTATCACTTTTCTGGGCCAAACATCCCTAGTTCCTTTAATCTTGTAAGTGGAGAAAAATAACAGTGTCTCAAAGTAGTGACTTACTTTATCAGGTTGCATATGATTTAAACCTGGGAAATAATTATTAGAATCTGGTAATGCCACTGGCACCTCTACGCTCATTATACATTTTTTAAAATGAAAATCTAGATAAATAAAAGGTAAGTGACCGACCATAGGTCCGTCCCACAATCTCGTACATATGATGAGCACTGGCAATTTAAAAATAAACATTGACTCTACATGCATGTGTGATATAAATAAAGCTTTCAGAATGGATATTATTGAAATTCCCTGTGAAATTATTTGTAACAGATCTATTATTGACGCTACCTTTGGAAATAGTATATCTATAGATAATATTAAAAATATATCTAAACATGCAATTCTTTGTCCTAAAAATGAGCATGTTCATAAATTAAATGAAGAAATTTTGGATAAACTTGATGGACATTTTCACACCTATATGAGTGATGATTCCATTGATTCAATGGATGATGCCGAAAAGGAAAGTTTTCCCATCGAATTCCTTAATAGTATTACTCCTTCGGGAATGCTGAGTCATAAATTAAAATTGAAAGTAGGTGCAATCATCATGCTACTAAGAAATCTTAATAGTAAATGAGGTCTTTGTAATGATATTAGATTTATTATCCAAGGATTGCCACCTAACATAATCGAAGCTTAAGTATTAATAGGATCTGCTGAAGGAGAGGTTGTTCTGATTCCAAGAATTGATTTGTCCCCATCTGACACCAGCTTTCCATATAAATTAATTCAAAGACAGTTTCCCGTGATGCCAGCATTTGCGATGACTATTAATAAATCACAAGGACAAACTCTAGACAGAGTAGGAATATTCCCACCCGAACCCGTTTTCAGACATGGTCAATTATATGTTGCTTTCTCGTGAGTTCAAAGAGCGGGTAAAGTATTTACAACTTTAAATACTTCCCTTATGATGAAGTATTTAAAGTTGTAAATACTTCATCATAAGGGAAATTAGTTAAGCACTCTGAAAGTGTTGTTACTCTTAATGTGATATAGCAGGAGAAATTAGAATAAGTTCAAACAATTTATCAGTCATTGTTTTTATCAATGTTGTTTTTATGTGATGTTTTTGTTGTTTTTATGTCATGTTTTTATTGTTTATTAATCAGTTTATATATTTTCATATACATTTTACTAATTTTCTTTCATCTCTGACACTTCTATTATAGAGAAAGGGCAAGTAGCGATATTAAAATATTTCTTCTAATTAATTTCCTTTCAATGTGCATGAATCCATACACTAGGCCACTAGTAATACATATTAATACTGAAAAAAAAAAAAAAAAAAAGCAACAAAAAAAAAAACCTCCCAATAGGCCAAAATAAAACCTGGAGTCTTACATGCTTTCTTCTAAATAAGAACTCAGAGACTCTTTAAAATTTATTCTTATAACACAAAATTAAGAAAGGAAAATCATTTATTTCATGACCTAAATTTCTAAAAAGAGAAGCCACTACCCTTCATTTAACTTTAACAAAGATCCCTGAAACTCAGGGACCAAGCTTTTAGGATTCTTGTCAAAGGGTTTGAACTTGAAACAGAAACTCTAGAGCAGCGATTTTCAACCGGTATGCCACAAGAATTTTTAAAACATGTAATACCTGACTATTTCAGTCAGGGGTACTGACCTCTTTTCCCTTAGATTGTCAAATAAAAAAATGACAGTAGCCAACACATAGCTGTCCAGTGTGAACGAATTAAAATTATACCTATTTTTTGTCAGATCAACAAAAAATAGGTTTTTTGGTGTGCTGCAGAATTTTAGTAATTCGTTTAAGTGTGCCATGAGATGAAAAAGGTTGAAAATTGATATTTTAGGGCAGTGGTTCTCAACCTTTCTAATGCCGCGACCCTTTAATACACTTCATCATGTGGTGGTGACCCCCAACCATAACATTATTTTCATTGCTACTTCATAACTTTAATTTTGCTACTGTTATGAATCGTAATGTAAATATCTGTTTTCTTAAGTGATGATCTTAAGTGACCCTGCTAGCGGTTCTCAACCTGTTGAGAACTGCTGCTGTAGATCCTAAGAACATCGGAAAACACGGATATTTATGACACCCGAAGTGAGGAAGGGATCACATCAAACTGAGAGGAATGAGACATATACTTACACTCCCCTTTTCCTCACTTTCTTATATAAGTCCCAAAGTTCCTAAAGACCTCTTTTTAATCCACCCTCTCCTTCCTTCCTTTTCTTTTTTAAAGAGAAGAGTCCTTTCTAAACTATTCCTTTCAGGGCCTACTCTTGCATTGACTACTGCAATAGCATTCAGTAGTCTCCCCGTTTCTACTCCCAGCCCAATCACAGCCATTTATACCTCTCCTACAGCACTTATCCATTCATTTTATCCTTCATGACTGTTCCAGCAGCTCTCTGAATCCACAGTGCTTATTAGCACAGTGTCTGGCATATATTAAGTGTGTAATAAATACTAGTTGA